GAAAGTATCAAATGAGGCTTCTTTGTACTGAGGAGACCACTCCGAAAAATATTGTACTGTTGTATTTACGCATTACTACTAAACTAAAAATGAGTCGCTATCTTGAGCATGAAATGTTTACAGTGGCCAAAGGCGTAAACCCTTGATGGAGGAAAAGAATCGCCAAGTTAATAGGTTTTTATTGATCTTCTATAAGCAGGTAAATATTGGAAAATGTTTGACGTAATCGTTACTGAGATTATTAATAGCATGAATTGTTAATAGTACTATGTCACAATCTGTGACACAGGTTTGTTCTGTACATGGATCTGGCACTACTATACGTTGGAATTATTGACCCACCCACTCGCTTTCAGCCTCCTATCATCGTGTGATGTATTAGTCCTACAATCAGATTTATTGACGTACATGAGAAGTTGACGGATGTGACAGGTGTAGGGTAGACGCATATGTGTATACATGTATGTAAAACTCGTGTATATTCTCAACCATATCCATTGTAAACGCATACGTACCAGAGGGAGTGATTGTGTATGTAAACCGTATTGCCGATCAGAATCTGGATGTTTGTAATGTCGAACACAGTAAGTATGTATAAACATGTATTATGCGGTACCTTGGTGCACAGATTGGGCTTATTATCTAAACCCTCATTCTAAAAAGACTGTTATGGTATTATAGAAAGAGTAATTAAGTCATAAACACCAAATTATCATAATGATATTAACCACTGTATAGCTTACAGATAGAAACTTAACGCGATCTTTAAAAGGTTAGCTGTAGTATAGCTGGTAATCGATTTGTCCATATGTGACCAATAGTGTACGGTAGAAAACGAATATCTGATATTTGTGACAATCAGTGCTAACTAATTTGCTGCTGAGTTCGAGTGGCTACCTCAATCACCAGCCATATATCGATGTAATTTACTGAAAGGTGAGTGAAATACCTGTTGTAGCCTCTACTCTACTGGGAATGTGTACACTAATGATGTGTTATGTTGTCATTGATTTCTACTACCACTAGGCAATATGGCTATTTTCTGTCTAAAGAAATATCCACATTTCTCGTGCGAGTTGTAACGAGACTCGATCAGGTAAATGACCGGTATCTACAAAAGTCTCAATAGTTTTGAAATACAATATTAACTACTTGTCCCAAATAACACAATAAAACAAGGTCGGTGCAAGAGATGATAAAAAACAATCTTTTGTCCTGATTAAACTATATATATTTCAGATATAAAAGACTTGTGACAACCATTGTCACTCTATACACCAGCTATGGTATCCCTCTACAATACATGATACCACAACTTAGTGAAACGTATATGCTTTATCAGGCAAACTATTTTAAAAGCCGACTTATTTTGGATATCACACTACCCCATGCTTGAGTACAATAGCTTTAACCAACCGAGCACTCCAGTCAATAGGGCGAAATTTCGTTTTATTTGATTTTAATCGTAAAGGCAACCCTATCTGATCTTATAATAATAATAGAACGTTGTGACAGACAGAAGTGCAGAAAGGTTTATGGTATACAAGCTTGTTTCTACGGTATATACCCCGTGTCTCGCTTTATCTTATTTCTATTCTTCCTCCTCACTCTCTACCTGAAACTCCGAATACTTCACATTTCTCTCTGTCTATCTGTCTGTCTGTCTGTTGTCTGTCTGTCTGTCTCTCATCATACCTCACATTACCTCATTTATCTACCTGATGTCCCATCATACCTCACATTACCTCATTTCTCTACCTGATGTCCCATCATACCTCACATTACCTCATTTCTCTACCTGATGTCCCATCATACCTCACATTACCTCATTTCTCTACCTGATGTCCCATCATACCTCACATTACCTCATTTCTCTACCTGATGTCCCATCATACCTCACATTACCTCATTTCTCTACCTGATGTCCCATCATACCTCACATTACCTCATTCTCTACCTGAAGTCCCATCATACCTCACATTACCTCATTTCTCTACCTGATGTCCCATCATACCTCACATTACCTCATTTCTCTACCTGATGTCCCATCATACCTCACATTACCTCATTTCTCTACCTGATGTCCCATCATACCTCACATTACCTCATTTCTCTACCTGATGTCCCATCATACCTCACATTACCTCATTTCTCTACCTGATGTCCCACCATTCCTCACATTACCTCATTTCTCTACCTGATGTCCCATCATACCTCACATTACCACCTCATTCTCTACCTGAAGTCCCGAATACCTCATATTTCCTCGTCTCTTTTTCTCTCCCTGATGCCTCATCTTGCTTCACATTTCATTATCTCTTTCTACTTGATATCCCATCATACATGACTTTATCTCATTTCTCTCTATCTCTACCTGATACCCATAAAACATGACATTACTTCTCCCACATTACCTCGTCCGTCTTCACCACAAACCCCATCATGCCTCACAATACCTCATCTCTTTTTTCTGTCTGGTGTCCCATTAGGTCTCAAATTACATGTACTTCGTCTTATTCCATCTTCTTTATATCCCATCATGCCTGACATTGCCTCATTTCTCTCTATCTTCACCTGATATCCCACAATGCTTTATCGCCCTCTATCTCTACCTGATATCCCATTATGCATCGCATTACCTCATTTCTCTCCATCTGAGTGACCATATTTCACACTACCTCGCCTGTCTTCATCACAGACCCCTCCATGCATCACAATACCTTACATCTTTCTCTGCCTGGTTCCCTTCATGCCTCACATTGCTTAATCTTTCTCTATCTCTACCTGATATCCCATAATGCATCACATTACACCATTTCTCTCCATCCGATGACCATATTTCACATTACCTTGTCTGTCGTCACCACAAACCCTACCTTGCCTCACAATACCCCATTATTTCCTCTGCCTGATTCCCGTCATGCCTCACATTGCTTCATCTTTCTCTCTCTCTACCTGATATCCCATAATGCTTCACATTACATCATTTTTCTCCGCCTAATGACTATATTTTACATAACCTCGTCTGCCTTCACCACAGACCCTACCTTGCCTCACAATATCCCATTATGTTCTCTGACCGATATTTCTCCCTTTCTGGCGATGATGTTTCTATCTGAATACATACGAGACGTGTTATATGTAAGCTATATTCCACTGTTGTCCAGATTTGATAACGAGACAAACGAAACAAATAACAACATACATGTATATATCAGACGGTCAATTTAAAATTACGGTTCTGTTTAAACTATTTCCGATTAAAATCTTACATTTCGACAATATTTACAGCGTTGGCATACTGTACTTAAAATCGATCGAGATTTCATAAAGCCATCCATCAATATGTTTAGTATAGAGCCGACAATACGTCTTCGTGTTAACTTATTGAATCAATGAAATATATATGAATAGACATTATTGTGTTAAAGTGTCGTGTACACGAACCCGATCAGACGATCAGATCAGGACATGACATATAGCGCCTTCAGCTTGGTAAACATAAGACATTCTAACAACCTAAACACAACGATTACAAATAACATTTATTTGAATAACTTTCTTCAGCTCTCCTGTCATATTGTGAGATAATCGTTGTGTAAACCCCGTTAAAGCTAGCTGTTTTATCTCTTTTAAAATTACAGATTGTTACGGAAGGGATATCCTAGATAATACTGAAACTAGATATTGTTCACGCTTTAAAACCCTTAGTGTTGCACAAAGGCATCAAACAGTTGATCTTATATATGCTAAGAATAATCTTCTTTCAAAACCATAAAAAGAAACATATGAATCTACATATATATATATGTTGTTTATTTTTGGCAAACCAAGTTCTCATTTCTTCATGGAGCAATGGCGACCCCGTCCTGAACCTGACTATGTATGGTTGCCATACCTGCATTATATTATTTTGACAGTAGATTGATAGTAAGAAGTACAGGATTTTGTCTCACTTCAATTCACTAGGATTTTTATCAATCTTTTGAATAAATGACTAAAAGAATATTGATAATTAATGATGTATTAAAACTTTTAAATAACTTTTGGTAAACGAAAACTGACCAAATTATTTCATAATAAATTTTGATACATAGATTTCTGGTATTTGAATGTAATGAAAGCAGTCTAGTTTTGTTTTTGATAAATTAGCACAAATTTACACAGCAAACAGCAATCTTATTAATATTTCTACACTGTGTGAAACAGTTACAACAAATATATAGGAAATTATGTGTCAGAGATATTCCAACTACATTGAACTTGTGTTTCAAAATGTTCCTGCATTTCCAAGTGAAAACGTTCAACATGAAGGGTGTGGCTTATGTATTTATCTCCCTTTGTTATTCCCATTTCTCTAAAAATTGTCACTCACTCACTCACAGTGATTCACTTTTGATATCAACATTGATACCGAAAGTGGTAACATGCTTCTTAAAACGGTGTCAACATAGTTGTTGAAAGTGGTTTCGTGTTACTAAATATGTCAACATTGTTATGAAGAGTTGTTACGTGTTATCAAATATGATGTCAACATTGTTATTTACAGCAGTTATATGTCACTAAATACGATTTCAAACTTTTAGACTACCTGCACTTTTTATCAGAGAGTCTGGTAAACCTTTATATCTACTAATATATTATAAGAAATTCTATACATGGTAATGTCCGGTTGTCCATGCTGTGTAACCCTATCGGTCTGATAGCTGTCCATTCATTACTTTATATGTCATACGTACTTCAACGTGTTTAATTAAGTACACATTTCGTTTGTATTTTCAGATTTCTGTTTCAATGTTAACCGGAGCTTTATCAGAATCACTCGGAAATAAAAACCAACAGGAAGAGGCTGTAAGGAAATGAGTCTTTTACGGCCTGTCTAGGAAAATCACGTGATCCATATATGATGCTAACAGATAAACATTCAAAACAACATCACGTTCATATCAAATTGGTTTTTTACAAAGCAAACAGTAGTTACGCTAAGGAGGAAACGTTTGATGAGGGTTTTAACGCGGTACAAGTATGTTCAAATCCGAGTGTTCCGTCCGTTACGGAGAACCAGACGGACGTTCTGCCTCGTTTTATGCACGGCTCTACTATTCGGATTTTTCACACTGGTATTGGAGATATTCAGCACATCCGATAGATATCGGATCTATTCCATGGTTCCCTACAGCGGTAACCTAAGTGAAGTGCAACAACATCTCGTTTCGTCAGTGATCAGGGCCCCAACAAGTATTCCGGAACGTGTTCATGAACCCGTGGTAAAACCATGGAATCCCTTCCGGACCAAGGCCATTAGTCATAAAGGTGGTGTTCAAATGCGACATGAACACAAACCGAAATATATGCCGCCAAATTCAACACGTCATCTCATATCAGGGCAAAACAAATCACATGATTTCCTAAACGCCAATAAGACTGAATATATCGTACACCATGAAATAAGTAAGCCATTTAATAGTCATCCCCATAATACCTCATTGGTCCCCAAAGGGAAAGTAGCCTCATCAGGGAATGGAGTTAAGGCGAAATCTAAATATTTATCATATACCAACAACTTCACATATCCTCTGGATATCAATATAGTAGCTCTTGTAAGCGACGCTATCAAGGGGTTGGAGTATACTAAACACCAACCCATTAATCCGCACAATTTTTGGTATCTCCATAAACCGAATAACTGTGCTTTCAAACTTCAACAGAATGCAACCAAGAATGTTCTTGTGCTTGTGAAGTCGTTTGCCGGTAACTTAGAACAACGAGAGGCACTAAGGACGTTATGGAACACCACTAACGATCCCAATATGAGACGGGTATTTATGCTTGGATATCGCCGATCGCATCAGCTAGCCATTGACAACGAAAGTAGAAAATACCACGACATCATCCAGGAAAACTTCATTGACAATTATATGAACAACACATTTAAGACGATAATGGCGTATAACTGGGCAACGAAGTACTGTCGTCGCGCGCATGTCATTCTATTTTTGGACGATGATTACCTCGTAAATATGACGGTCATGGCAGCTCACATAAGGGCTGCATACAAGAATCAGAGCTCCGGACTCTACACAGGGACGCTTGCTAAACACGCCCCTCCATACCGAAACAAAAACGAACGGTGGTACCTAAGCTACCAACAGTACCCGTATGACGAGTTTCCGCCATACGTTGGAGGTGGCGCTTACGTTGTTTCTTATGATGTAGCCAAAAAGTTTAAATTTGCCTTTCCTTATGTGCAATACATGGGCATTGACGATGTGTATTTGGGTATTGTGGCAAGAAAATTAGGTATAAGCGCCAAAAATGACCCATACCTCAACAGTCACAGCAAGGTCGCGTTGGCAAAGGAGTGTTCCCACAATGCCTCTGAACTTCTTCGAAAAATATGTCCACTCAGTGTGATCAAAAAGCAAGTGTTTCGGGTCTACAACCGACGCAAACAAAAACCTGTTAGCGCCACTGTTTTTGTTGTATGTTTTGGTCTAGCAATGTCCGCTATTGTAATGTTATCATGTTGTTTATCTGATTAATCAGATTAAATCAGAGTTATTTAGAAGCTTGTTCATTTGTGATTTTTTCATTACCAAGATTATTTGTGCAACATTTTTCAGACCCGGACTTCTCAGTATGTTACACTTATATATATCTACTCAGTATTTCATCGACAGGTTTTGCAGGACATCCTAAGCTGCAACCTGAAGGTAAGTTTACTATACTGCGCAAGAAACGATACGATTCAAAATTAAGAGGTCTAAAGGGCCTGCATCACTCACCTGTTATTCAAAGCGTTTCTCAAAACCACTATCATTTTGACATTCGTACCTGGAGCCTACAAGCCAAATACCATGCTTCATTGACTTTTGGATAATCAGAAATTGTTTGAAAGTTTTATCGAATTTGTCCCCTGTGACCTTTCAATATTATCGTTTTTTTTTTTGCAAACTTCGTTGTGCTTCATCTTTGCTATCTATAAGCCAAATATCGCAATTCTCGGTCTTCTGGTCATTGAGGAGTTGTTTGACTTTTACACCTCTTGTTTCATGCTATACGCGTGCCAGAGCGAAATAAGTTAATCTGAATCATATTATTTCAGTTGATCACCGCCTTCCAATTCGTGAATCCTTGCTGGGAAACGTACAAGAAAAGACAAAATGGAAGATTAGATCAATGCATACATTACTGCTTAATATGTTACTTTTATAATCATCATTTTAGGATGTTTTCAGCATTATCAGGTAGTATTAGTAATTAATCGGCTTTCTTATCACACGAGATAATAGGTCGGGTTTAACCAGTAATCACTGCAACGACTGCATACTAACATGTATAATTGAATTCAAAGAAACTCGCTACTAGAATTAGCTTATCCAACATTAGTGCATTAATTTGATCATACTGGATTCGGTTCAGCTTCCCAAAATCTGGCCCATGTGTGGACTGTGTGTCATAATTGCATTTGAATTCGCGGAACCCACCATGTTTAATACGTATGCACTATGCTTCAGGTGACAACTTTGAAGATTTGTAAATGATAGCACGTATTCAAGACATTTTTTTATGATAATTAACATTTGGATATAATTCATGGAAATTACCTTTCCGAATTCGCAGAAATAGAGATTGATTTTTCCATTTTATTGTTGGTTACATCAAGGTCGAGCCACACGGTTTCATATTATACCTCTTTATAGTCTATTATCCAGTCACAGAGACATTCTCTACGAACACATCCGACCGTCCTAGCAGGTTGCTTTATGTTTCAGCAGCTCAAATGGACGAAGTCTGCTGGCCTGTGCCGACATTTTCCGCGAATGCAATGCCGTATGTCAGTCTTTACGATGGTAAATGATTATCATTCCATTTTTGCCAGTGAAATATAGAGAAATATCTCATTGATAAAAGTGTTGTTTTTCACAAACACGTTTGAAGACTTACGCCAATGAAAAGTGGGAACACAGATCGTCTGATAAAATTGGTTCAAAAAACAACACAAAACCGGACATTTGAAGGAGTTGTTTATTTGTGACACGACCTTCAATTCCATGGTAAACGTTTATTTCCATGAAAGTCAGCAAATGATGCAGCGTAAATGACCTTGTCAGAGATCGAGTTAAATCCCCAGCCGAATATCTTGAATGTGGACCTAACACTTCAGACATTTCAAGAAGATTCATGTTATCAACATCGACATGAAAATGTATTAGATAGAATATATGATAGTGTTTACAGTAATAACAACTGCGCACTAGTGAAAAACACTAAACTATTTTACGCACTTGTGGAAAGTACTTGTTACTACTGAAAACTCTGTCAAATATCCTCTATAGCTAAAATCTCTATCTCAGCGAAATATTTAGAAGGTCTTTTACTAATTAATGTCATCACCGTCGGACATATGCACAGATACACAAAATAAATAAGAGGGTCATAGCTCTTACAGGTCATCTGACTGACAATTGATGTATGGACAAACCACAGAATTGCAGATGATAGTCTGACAAATCTGATGAATTCCCATGATACGTCAGACCACATTTGATATAAATCCATTCAAGCAATAGGGACGAGTAAGGTTTGAAGCAAAATCATTATTAACTTTCACATTTGGGGCCCTGGCCCTAAGTCCCTCGGGGTCGAATCATCTTTCTCAATTTAAGAATCAATTTCCCACATCTACTGATGTTTCAGACAATATTTTAATGAAATCCGTTCAAGCATTAAGGAAGAGTAGCCTTCTGAAGAAACAAAATTGACTAACTTCCCATTTGGGGCCCCAATCTCTATGTCCCTAAGGATCAAATCAAATTTCTTAGTTTAAGAAATGACTGCCCACCAACAACAATGTTTCAGATCAAATTTGGTTGAAATTTACCCAGGCATTAAGAAGGAGTAGCATTTTGATGCAAAATATTGCCTAATTTTCCCTCTTGGGGCCACGCCCCAAATTCGGTTTCAGACCGGCTGAAATCTGTCCAGGCAGCAGCAGTATTTTAAAGCAGAAGTATATGGATAGCGAATGTTGACGATAACGGACAATGCACGATAGCAATATGTCATCTTTGGGTCAGATGACCTAAAAACATTGATAGGTAACCTACACCTTTACCTACAAAATGACAGCAGCGACATCTGGAAGAACAAAGTTATTGTAATGTCACTAAATTCGGAAATATTGATTGTCATTATAATTTATGTTCTTAGATATGTTCTAAATAACAGACAACAGCAATTTGACAAAATGGCACAGAATCAACAAACACAAGGAACCCTTCTGAAATATTTAAAACATTTCTGTTCTAGATAATATTGTGAATATGCCTGTGTGGTATTTCCTGGACTGATGCGAAACCTAGTCCCATTTCCTGAAAACCTGACAGCAGTAGGATGCATTTAATTCATTGTTTGGCTATCATGTATTTAACTCTAAATTATAAAAAGGAGTTATTCCCTTGTGTGTCGTTTGTACAATCTTTGTCTAGAGTTAATCAGTGGTTAGTGAAAAATTCAATTATGATTTTAATCAAATTGTTGATATATTGATTAAGGTCCGAACGGTATTTTGTGAATATTGATATTGCTTTGAAAGTCCTAGTGTTTTTCACTAATCACTTGTTAGCAGTACTAAGCGTTGAGTAACTGGGGCTTTCAGTCGTCATCAGATTTGGATTAGACAAGTGATCACTCTGATAGGTGAGCAAGAAGGGGTATATATTGAATTTATTGATCAAGCTTTGAATAAACAAGAAGGACAGATAAGTCATTCTCACTGTGGGTACAACGATGTGATTTTATTATTTTATATGAAACATTTTTTATCAATCTCAACGACAAAAGTACAACGTATATTACAATAATGGATTTATACGCAACATCTATAAACATTAACATTAATTGCACAATTTTCATCAGTACACTTTTATAGCCATACATTTTCTATAACTTTCTATATGTATAACACTGCCAATCCTGTCCAGCCACCTGTACCCACATACTCAACAAAAACCAAGGGGAGGTAACTGTGTATATAGTAACCGGTCCAGACAGGTGACTCAAAAGATGTCATTAATTGCATGTTGTATATATCTTATCCCTTCTTGGTAACAATATTCAATTTTGCATATGGAGAAAAAGTTTATGTTATATATCTGAAACAAAATCTGCTCTGTTGTATAAAACTGACATTTTGAAAATTACAAATTCTATATCAAAAGAGGAAAACGATGCAAATCCACCATTTTTCTTCTCTCACTTTTTTTTAAAACATCAACAAAACAAAGAAAGATAAACATTTAATTTTTTGATAAGTTAGGTTTACATCTATTGGCTTGCTTCAAAAGTTTCAATAAAATCATTTATTTTAGAAATCAGCCTATTTGTTTGGTGGTCCACATTTCATCTCAGTTTAAATGACACACTGTAAAACACATGCAAGTTTACCAGCTTTGCTGATTTTTTTTCTCAATTGAAAGACTAGATTCTGAATCAGTCAATAAAGAAAATAAATATTTCAATAAACACATAACCACTGAAAATGTCAACCATCACAAAATATGTTCAAGCTGTGCTTGTAACAAGTATGTTACATGACATGAATTAAATACATTAGTATACAAAGATTCAATTCCAAAGGAAGTCATTAGCTACACACTGATTATACTTTAGAATATTAATAATACGATTGATAAATAGTTTTTAAATATAAAGAAACTATATTATAATTGATTGATGAAATATAGATTTGTAAAAATATATAAAATACATCAGTATCACAGATGACATGACATTCCTAATTATGTTCCTGAATCTATAAATGCCACATAGGTGTAGGACATGTCTACTACCCAATAACCAGTTCTGAACAGATACACCAGTGAAGTGTTGTAAAAAGTACTACACAAACATTTGGCTAATGCCACCTCTAAATAGTAAATACTTGCCGGTTAAATTTCACTACTTCATTGTAGCTAATACCAAAGTATAAAGATGAGCAACATGTATCTTATTGTATAATCATTCATTTTAGGAAATACTGTGCTTATCCGACAATAAAGCTACATCTGGTATGGAGCCATGCTTATGAATTATATTGTCTCTCCTAACAAACACCAACAAATTCTTTTTCATTGTCATGTAATGCTATAAGCATCATACTAGATGTTGAAAGCCTTCAATAACTCCCAGCTAATTTTGATACTTTAGAAGTTCTAATTCTGTAGTATTAAAATCATTAATCATTATTCTGAATACATCAGACACATTTAAGAGACACACACAGCACACCATCATTCATTTTCGGTGTAGATGGTCTACGTGTATGAACTGTAACATTGAAGATGATGACGAGAAAACTGTTGACATGGGAGACAACTCCGTAAATCATAGGAGAAGATCATTTTAATTTGCGACAAAAATGAGAGTTTGCAATCATTTTTGTATAGGTATATATTGAAGTTTGCATTATTTCCAGCCATAGCAAAGATTTGAGTTTGCAGTACTTTCAGCTGAGATGAAGATAGTTATTTGTGGTATAGTCAGCCGTGGTGAAGATTGATATTTGCCTTATTTTCGTTTCGGGTGAAGATGGAAGTTACCAGTATTTACAACATTGGCGAAGACGGGAGTATGCAGTTCCCATATCTGAGATGGAGATGTAAAGTTTGCAGTTCTTTCAGCTGTGGTGAAGATGGAAATTTGCAGCATTTTTATCTGCTATTATTTTGACAACTTTTTCTGGCCGTCCGCTCAAACTTTTGGAGTAAGTATTCAAGTTGACTCCCACTCCCTTCAGCCTGTTGTAATGGTCACTGGTTAGCTCATGCTCAGCTACCTGAGCCTACAAAGAGAACATTTAAATATATCAAATTGAAAGCTTTTTGTGAAATAACAGCCAAGAATTTAACAGCTACTAATTTTCAATTCAAGTTAATGATATGTAAGGTCCTGGTTGAATTGTAAATTTAAAATTCTTACAAGTTCAGCTAGACATCTTCTGTTATAAAATAGAAAGTTTCAATAGTATATAAAATATTGTTGTCTTATACGTAATTTTTAGAGTATATATCATACAAATCATTATTTGAGAATTATCAGGCTTAACGAAAATTGTCTATATAAGGATTTTCAGAAATAATGCATACAATGTTTATATATAGGAGATCTGTTCAATTGAATGATAATCCACAGGACAGTTTGACAGCCGTAATCTGTAAACCTGGGTAATTATTCATACCAAACGTATTGGCTTTCAAGTAGAAAGCAATGCAGGTATTTCACAAATTTATTATTTAGGTATTATGTAAAAATAAGTGATCACAATGTCCTTCATGTATAGTGTAAAAAGACTTAAAGGGATCAAAGTCTTGCAGGTATTGTTTACAAATTCTAAGAGGTGACTAAGCCCTGTTGGCATTATTAACAAATCCTACGTGAGGACAAAATCCTGCAAGTATTGTTTATAAATCCTGTGTTGACTAAGCCCTGTTGGTATTGTTTATAAAGCCAAAGTGAGGACAAATTCCTGCAAGTATTGTTTATAAATCCTGTGATGATTAAGCCCTGTTGGTATTGTTTATAAAGCCAAAGTGAGGACAAATTCCTGCAAGTATTGTTTACAAATTCCTGCAAGTACTGTTTACAAATCCTAAGTGATGTTAACGTCCTGCAAGTATTTTTTTTTAATTCTAAGAGGCGACTAAGCCATGCAGGTGTTGTTAAAAAAATCCTTAGAGGGAACTAAGCCCTGCAAGTATTGTTTACAAATCCTAAATGAGAAATACCTTGTAGGTATTGCTTACAAATCCGAAGAGAGGGATAAGTTCTGCAGATATTATTTACAAATCCTAAGTGAGGACAAAGCCTTGCTGGTATTGTTTAAAATTCTGCAGAGGTAACTAAGCTCAACAGGTACTGTGTCAAAAATCTTACGCAGTAAATAACTGGGGACCCTAAGTGCTTCCCTGCTTTATAATGTCACTTAGAACAATGTTTCACATGTTGTTTTTATTAAATGTTCACCCAAGAGAGGCAGGCAATAAATTCTCACCCCTGACCCAGGCAGAACATAGACAATGAAATCAGTATAGCACTGTATATGGGGAAACATTTCCTAGGGTTAGTTTTGTCCTTACATCATTTTTTTAAGTTTCACCCAGTGTTTAATTCACAAATGTAGGCTTTTCATTGATACCATCAAACATTAGCCAAGCTGATATTTTCAACCTAGCTTAGTGAAAGGGGCTTAAGGTGAAAATGTAGGCAAATTTTCCCCATATAGAGTATTAGCTGAAATTAATTCGAGTTTGGAATTTAAAAAAAGTAAAGACCAGTTTGCCCTTCATTGCCAGTATAGAGTGACAAGGCGAGATGTTATGTGTTTTTGTTGTATTCAACAAGAAGGTAATATTGAAAGCCCTAGAGAGCACTACCATTCATAAGCACAGATTTGTACGAACCAGAAACTACAACCAAGCCTAAAAAATCTCCCCTGTATCATTCAAAGAATTTTAATTCCTTAATAATTATGTTTATCTAACTAAGCCTTAATTGTAACAAGACATTGTATGAATTAGCACTTGTATATTACCTGTAGGTAACCTTCCTGGTCTGCAATCCATTGTCTATTGCTCTCCTCCGCCTCAGCAAACTCTAGAGCTAGTCTGTGCTGAACCTCAGCCCTAAGGAGACATGGTTATGAAAAACATACAGATTTTGTAATAAGAATTTATGAGGAAAACTAGAGCACCGACACATCAGAAAGGGACACACAATTTGTCTGATTCTAACTGGAAGCATAAAAGACTGATAAATGATTACTTTTTGCACCAAATATAAAATATATTTCACAAATGCAGGTCTGTAAAAGCATTAAGTTTACGCATATCAATTAATAATTAATTGTATGTTGTGTGACGGGATGACATCTATTCTTTTATTCTAATTATCGTCTTACTGTGTAATGACTAAGCATTTTATTAAAATCATATTTGATTTTTATATTGAAACAAAGTATTCACCATTGAATGAATGGAATGACGACTTTGACATCTGAGTTATACAGTTCTGTTTCATTTTGATTATTAAGATTCCTTTAATGTCATAACAAAATTTTTCAACCTATGATATAGAACAAAGGTATTTGATATTTGACCCGGATGTTTGACCTTATCTTTGAATCAAATGACTTAACTCTTTTCACTTTGCTTCATAATACACTAGAAAAGTATTTTTCTATTAAGAGATAGAAACTGTGATTTTGAATCCACTGACCTTTAACTTAAATTGATTTTTATTTTTTTTTTTTTAATAAAGACCAAGAAACTACTTATTAATGATGAATTCTTCACATTTATATATTCATACTACGTCTACCTTAGATCTTTGTCATTTACCAGAAAAAAAAAATCACAATTTAAAAGAGCATGTGTATATTTCAAAAGGATTCAAAACAAAATATACATGAGGTATTGAATTTATACATAGCATATTTACTACACATATAGTCAGAGGCAATGAAGTGTTGAATTTGTAAATGAAACTATACAAACACACATGCATGTGGGATGGAAAATGCTGTCAGAATTTGGAACTGAAAGTGACTAGAAAAGGTAAGATAATGATATATGAATTGAATAAAGAAACAAGAGGCCCATGGGCCTTAATGGTCATCTGACATAAAATACAAGATTTCAAATTTTGAAGTCGAAAATATGTTTTCAAGATGGCGGCCATGTTGGATTTCGGACCAACCCGAAATAACCAAACTTTGGTCAGGATCATATCACAATCATTTCAGGTAAGTTTCAGCTCAATGGGACATATAGAACTTGAGACAAAGTTGAAAATGATTACGACGGACGACGCCGGCCAAAAAGCGATCGCAATAGGTCATCAGACCCTTCAGTCAGATGACCTAAAAATTAGGTAATGGCAAAATATTGGAAGTGAATGAATGTCGGTAAAGCCATGGGTAGGAGTTTCACTGTACGTCTATATCCAATAATCAGCATTGGTAAAATGACTTACTTCTGCATCGTAAACTTGTGTTTCAAGGCATCTACCTGTAGTTTTTGTTCTGAAATAAAAATTTAATTTTTGTTTGTATTCAAACAAAAATCTGATCTAGTACAACTTGCCTCGATCATCATATAAACAATAAATAACCCTGTATTTATTGATCATAGACACATGAGTCTATAAGTGTACTGGTAAAATCATTTCAAACATCACAAAATTACACAAATGGCCTCAAAGACTTGTTTCCTGCACATATAATGATGACCAAATTTCATGTCCAGCTATCAGTTGACCAAAATTGTGTACAGCAGGGATTTAAAAAATAGCTGACAGGTAGTTTATATACCCTACTTATGTAGATAATTAACAACTACTTTCAGGAAATGATAGATTGGTAATTGTCTCTTCGTGCCTACTCATTCAATGTTCTAGATATCAATGGTAACTCTATCAACTTACCCAGTAATGGTGATGATTCTATCTGTTACTATGTTATAACTTCCCTGACCTAAATACCTTTAGCATGAAAGCATTTGTCTATTCATACTTAGTATCTGAATAGATTATATGTAAATAAAATGAGATCACAACCTTTTCCTTAATGAAAAATGAGGAAATTATCTAAAATATGTCTACCCACCAAGTTCTTTTCGTGATTTCTCACTCTCCAGCTTCATGTCTATTAGGACTTGATTCTGTTCCTCTTTCTCATACTACAATGAATAAAACAATAATACAAATATATAGCAGAGAACACTATACACACAGAGGATGTCATTTGCCGTTTTGAAAGTTGATATATGGGATATATACTGATAATGGTTTGGATTTCTGAGATGGCACATCTGAGTCTGTTCTTCTGCATAGGCACTCTAATCCCTCTAACCCCTGTAAGCCTGAAAATGGCTAAATATCATTTTCAAGAGGAAACTTAAATGCACTTCATCCCAGGTACCACCCAACTATATATTACAAGCACTGGTCTCCTTTAACTGAAGAATATAACCCATAAATTCATTAAATCTATTTCACTCCTGTAACCTTGAAAATATGTCAAGGTCATGTATAAGAGAAAAATAAACTTTACTCTAACCCAGATGCAGTATCTCCCGAGTCAATATCTGATTTTCATTTGAACTTACAGTTCTCAAGAAGAAGATAAAAGTTGACAAAAGGATGGGCTGACAATTGGTCATTACAAAATATTGTACATGGGGGAATTTTTGCGACATAACGACCTTTACATAATTAGCGTAAATGTTCCCCTCGCGTAAATTTACACGTTTACAGTAACATCAAAATTATCAAAACAATCAAGTTTTTACAAATAGTATCGATAAAGGAGATACGGATGTTGACAGAAAAAAGTCTTTGAATCACCAGCACATATTGAGCTGGGAAGTTTTCCTGTCTGTGTGACTTACATTGATTTTAAGGTTGGTCCTTGTCTCTACAGCATTATCATGGAGTTGCTGAAGTTTTGAGTGGGCATGGTAACCACGGTATATCACCTTGGTGATGGTGTAGCCAATCGCCTTACTCCTCTCCATCAACTGTGGGTAATTGTCCAGCTTATTCAATTCTCCAGCCTTTTCCATGAATTCTATATAGCTAAAATCAAAATAAAACTTTCCTGTACTGTAGATGTAAACATGTTCAAGATCAGACACCAATACATAATGTTATCTTGAATTAGCCAAACTGAGCAACGAACTTAACAGAAATATACTTGCTGTAGATGAGATACTGCAGGAATCACACGGTAAAAAGAAAAATCTAATGAACTTCACAACTATATGTAAATCTTGCTTTATTTGTTTATAAATATTTCAAATTTACCAATTAAATTTATTTTTGAACTTTTTCATTTGCATTGCGATGATTTTAACAACAAGGAGAACCGACACTCTTCAGTCTAACAGCTCAAGCAATGATGATACATCATGATATTACTTTACACCATTGTAAAATTGTATAATATATAACAATGTATATTAATTAGTACTATAGGAATACTTACGTATACAGTGATCCAAATGCGACTACGTCTGCACAAACACAGCTGGAATTACATAAAAGCATGAAACAGAAATTAAAATCGATCAAAAAAAAATTATTGTTTAATTTTGGGTTATCTCCCTTCATTAAATGCAGGAACCACAAAGAATTAATTCATGATTAAAATTTCTCAAGTTATTCTCATTACTACTGACAATATTCTCTGTTCAGTTGACAGGGAATGAGTTTAATTTGAAGGATTCAGATAATAACAGCCATCTTACAAGTACCTACTGAAGATTATTCTGAAAAGTAAAAATTTCTACACCATATGGGAACTACAGATTATGAAACTTTAAGTACCAAAAGAATTAACTAACCATTACAATTACTATATGAAAACTGCCTTTTTTCTGTAATCCTTATTCTTGGAATTCCCCATCCCTAAAGCTATACTTACAGGAGTTAGCCTAATCTATCCAAAATGTAGATTTATTAATAGGATACCTTAATGAGTCTTATACTATAAGTACAATATTCATACACAAACAGTGTGTTTAAAGACCTTAAACAATAGAACATGTTTACATGTACTATACTGCAGAATATGTAGTAATTTGTTGTACATCTATATAATGTACTTACTTGATAAAGTCTGCGATTGGATCTTTAGTGGCATTCAACTGTGAAGAAAATACTTAAACAGTGAGAAAATTAAGATATTTCTTTACAATAACTTTTTAAAATCTGATTAGACCGAACTTGACAACAATTTTTGAATGATACATGGTATAATGCATATTGGGTAAGTAAGACATATTGTAAGAGAGAAACATGGGCTGACACTCTGTACAAAACAGACTCATTGTGTGTGTTTGACACACCTATGTTTAACACACCTGCGTCTGACACCAATGTTTGAAACAATTATGATTAACACACCTGTGTTTGACATCAATGTTTGACACTATGTTTAACACACCTGTGTTTGACACCAATGTTTGACACAACTATGTTTAACACACCTTTGTTTGACACCGATGTTTGACATTTGTTTAACACACCTGTGTTTGACACCTATATTTGACACACCTGTGTTTGACACCTATATTTGACACACCTGTGTTTGACACCTATATTTGACACACCTGTGTTTGACACCTATATTTGACACACCTGTGTTTGACACCTATGTTTGACACACCTGTGTTTGACACCTATGTTCGACACACCTATTTTTTTCAGTATCAGACACTCACCATAGTATCTATGTCATTCAGCTCAAAACACAGCATGAGTTTCACTTTAATTGCAGCATCATCCTTCAGTCTAACTTCATCTACCTGCAAGGGAGGTAATAATGATAGTTTTTTTGTGACATAAAATGGTATCCTGAAGCTTGATCATATTTTACTTCATAAAAGATATGTAATTAATGTTATTTTCTGTTAAACAAATAATATATCTAAATTATGAATTCATTAAAATCTCAACAACATATCATAATCTTGAGGTGAACATGAGTTCAGAATAAACACTCTTAAAAAATTTCCATTGTTTTTTTTTTCAGAAATAGTGTTATGATTTTTGTTTTGTTTTTAAATTCTTGGTGAGGACACTCTGCTCCTATTTGTACAATTAGCATGTTAGTCTATGTCAAATTTTTGGATCTGATCTCATCACAAAGAAAAACATGAAATCCAACAGGATTACTGATAGAATATATGGGTAATGTCAGTACAGTACCAGTAACAAAAATTAACTTGTCGAACTTGTCATACATATAACTGTACACAAACTGTTGGTGCAAAAGATCAAAAATCACTTTAACATATATAAATTGTCAGTGTTACACATCTGAAATGACATTGAAATATATAAGCTGACAGTGTTTATGTACTAGATTAGAAATGACCTTGATATACTTAAACTGTCTATGTACCAGATATAAACAATGACCTTGACATATACATTATGAATTATCCTTAATGAACAGACTCATTTGAAAAAAAAAACTGAACATCTGTGAATGGCTGTGATACATACATTGTAATAAAGCTGATCTGGGATGACTTTGAGAACATCAAATTTCTGAATGCCTGGTATCACCCTTGTTTTGTTACCAGGATCTGTGCCGTGCCAGGAAAACTCGTGTAACCTACAAATACATCACAATGTTTAAATATTGACTTTGATTTGCGACAGCACATTCGTGTTTCTACAACACATGATACATGTAATTAGATGACTATTTTATGGTTTGGATCTACTTTGGTTTGCTGTTGCTTTACTTCCTATTAACAACCAGGGTCATTTGAGGATGTGCCAGGTTTGGATGGTAAGGCTGAAGTTCCTTGAGAAAAACCACCAAGCTGCAGTCAGTACCCGGCGACTCTCCTATGGCATCAAACCATTGCCATCCAGAGGTGAAAGACTAATGATAAAATTGGTTAGACACCTTAACCACTTCGCCAGCGCAGCTCCCCAACCCTACATCTGATAGTACATCGAGGCAAAAATTTGCAATGAAAATAGCAAAAGAAAGCAGTATCTGGAATGTGTGGTTAAATCAGGGGCTAGCTTTATAAACTAACAGACTCTAAGCCACTTGGTAAACTCAAGGTCCAATAAAACAAAGGAAAGACTCATTTTACTTCAGAGTGATTCAATGAAAGTTGTCAGAAGAACATACTTCTAAGCTGAAATTAGAAACACTTTTCTGTGAGGAAAGGAAAACTTAGTGTACTAACTTATAATCACTGAATACTGGGTATAATAGAGGAAATAGTGTTCAGAGGTAATAACACCCAGAGAAATTTGGCATCAATACTGTACAAAAATATAGAGTATGAACTTTGTGGTATTAAGCCATTTAGACATCTTCATGGTGCAAACTTTCACAGTTTATCAGATGACACAAACAGCAGATGAACTTACCAAAGAACATTTACTGCTGTAGCAGCAAGAACCATAATAAATTTATATATTTGTATTGAATCAGATTGTATCAAATTACCTACCATTCATTAGCCTGAGGGGTGAAAAGTGTCGGACCAAATTGTATGTATCTGGTCACTTCTTTCGTTAACTCCTCCTTCTTGTAGACGACCAGGGCTTCGTTGGCATCCAGCGATCTCATGTTCTTTATGGTGATGGAATTGTGTGCTATTGGATTCTTGAACATAACACATGGCCTGTCAACAATGAAAAGACATTTTTTGTATAAATCTTTTCCATTCAATCAATATCGTTTTGAATTTTTAAAAATCCATTATAGACATGCATGTTATGTACCTTCATTAGCGTTTTTTTATGTCAAGTCAAGTCATGATATAAATACATTTGGTGGAATGATGCTAGATAATGTACTGCTACTATATGTTGTTCAATATAGATTAAACAGTAACAAATATAAATAAATGTAAATATAATATAGATGTATCCCTGAGGTATATAGGTACAAATATATATATAACAGTATAAACAGGTAAGTCATAGATGTACATTCTTAACCAGTTATAAGAAAAGTTCTGTAAAAGTATGTAGCAGATACAGAATTCTGTAACAAGTATGTAGCGGATACAGAATTCTGTAACAAGTATGTAGCGGATACAGAATTCTGTAACAAGTATGTAGCGGATACAGAATTCTGTAACAAGTATGTACAGTAGTGCTAGCTATGCTAAGAAAACCACAGGTTTGATTGATATGTGCAGTGTCTGTTAAGTATATTATAGAAATAGAAAATTATGTCAGCAGATTTTCAATACAGATGATAAAGATAGCAGTTTTTGTTTAATTATCAAATGTCCTGACAAGTGGCTGTAAAGGGAATATCCAAATGTTCTTTGTAGGATAATCCATGTCTGATGTTGAGTTCTTCTGGTTCAGTGGTTTTTGAAACAAAATTAAAGCCTCTTCTGTGCGTAGGCATGTATCTAAGTTTTTGACAGTGGTTTTAAGCATGATAATTTTTTCATGGCTTGCATCATGTCCTGCGGACGTGAAGTGATGTGAAATTGGCATGTGTTTATTGCAGTTTCGAATAACAGCAAAATGGCCATGAAAGTGTTAGCTGATAGTGTTTCCAGTTTGTCATATGTAATGGATTCTGTATTTAGATATTGTATCATATAAATAGCACTGGTAGAGTTGTAGTTTAAAATTTGCCTAATGGTGAAAGTTTGTTAGTCTGATTTGCTCACAATGGTAGAACAAGTGTCCATGAATGGACACAAACTGCAGTTGATAACAAAGTTGACTTCCCAGTGTTCGTCTAAGTGGATTTATGTCAGCTCTCACAAGAAGGTCCTTTAGGTTGTTTGCTTTTCCATAGGCAATCGTGATCATCGAGTTATTCATTTTGGGGCCAAAACTGTTGAGCATTCCTGTGTGGTTTTTGAGGGAACTTTCAATGTGTTGACAGTTTGTTGATCAAACTTGCTGAAAAGTAAACAAAGTATATACTAGCACCTAAACACTGACCCCTTTTTGTGCTCTACACGTCCATCCTTGTAGGCAATCACTAGGAACTGTTTCTGATCAGCAGCATGTCGTGTCAATCTTTGAAACCTCTCTCTCCATAGAAACAACTGCAAAAAAGTACAGGAGAATTACAGTGTTATTTAGTCTGTATAGACTGATTGAAGACAAGTTTGTCAAATAGCAGATAGGCCAGCATTCTGAAAAAACTTCTCAATATTTTACTGACTAAGGTGCTATAGAATTTTATGTACTCAGAAGATATATAGTGCAGTTCGAACATAACACCTGAAATTATTTAGAATATACCAACAAAAATATCCCAGTACTGTTATTCTATCAGACAGTATGGCTGTGTATCAGGTAAAACAGTATGATTTAGACCAACAAACCCTCTTAGGTCCATCCTCTATTCTTGCTGATCCCTCATGATTAAACACCAATGCCTGAAACAGAAGACCAGGTGTTACTTCATTTTACCTTACAAGACTCGATCTGTGCAATTTCCAGACATTTATCAATGAGAAAGAGAATAGCACATGACAGGCAAGATGAGATTGTACCCCTGTCAGATTACCTATAACAGAGCAAGGCTCTCGCTCTGCCAGATTTGGGACCGATATTCGGCCCCATTCCCAATGCAAAATAGTATCTTTTTTTCCCAATTTAGATCCCAAGTTTTCCCAATTCTAAGGAAAACGCCACTATTTTTCCCAATTCTAAGGGCCCTGGGCACCAGTCCCAAAATGGGGTGTGAGAGCCCTGCAGAGGTTTTACTGCATGTTCATATATTTGTGGTTTCTATTGGCATCAAGTAATCTCTGTAGCCTTCTGTTTGTGTCATTTATAAAGTAATTTAATTGAATAAAGATTCAAATCATAGTTTTTTACATAGTTGTAATGTTGTCTGCTGTGTACAATGCATATGATTTACATGTAAATAAAAACAAAGCAAATGATCACCTGTTTTTTTATTGTTATATTGTAAAAAAACAATAGTTACACTGAATAATGCACCATTTAAATGTGTCAACAAAGGTGTTAACAACATCGTTTATGCACTTTCTTCTCCATTTTTATTTCTGAAAGTTGACAGGTACATCTACAGTGATAAATCTACATTTGAGTCATGCACACTTAGAATTTTGATGGAATTTCTGGAATTTCAGGTAATACTTAAATTAGCAATAAAGTTGAGGAGGAATCATGAAATCAAATTACAGACTGATTACTGTAGGTAACTGGTTACAAAAGAATGAAGTATTGTCAATAAATATAATATGTTATCTATTGGTGACTTAAATTAAATCTGGGACAAATTTCCTTAAAGTAAATCTGGGACAAATTTCCTAAGTAGGGAATGTGTATTAACCCAATGTGATTACCAAGTATAAACCTAGCAACTTCCGACACATGCAGTCATTCTCGTTCTGTGAATTAATTTGGTTATGAAGAAATATTGAACCACAGGAGTCTGACATTCTGTTGATAATTATGTATGTACATTGTATATTGTAACCCCTGTAAAATAACCCCTCATGTTATACTTTTTCATTACAATACAGGGGCTATCTTTTATACTAATTAACATAAAAAAAATAATATCTATATTGTTTTTGGCAGAGAATCAGGCTTCTGTGTTATATTTTTGACCAATGATTGAGGCTTTAGCTTTCTGTCCCCAACATTACATGATTCTGACGTCCTGTCAAAAACAGCACGCCAAATATAGGCCAATAATCGATAAAAACAGATTATATTTCTATACGTATTAATTTTACGGCGATTGGTCTCTCAGTCTCGTCTCTCGATAGATTGATACTAACATATATAATGCAATGGACTGGAATTTTGTTGGAGTTGTTTACGTTCGAGATACAGGTGCCTGTTACAGATACTGTGTGGTTCGTATAAATGAATTTTAATTGTATTGACCTAAATGCTGTTAATAGGAGAGCCATTTATGCAAGGGACTTAATTACGTTACCTGTTCTCCAACATCCAACGTTTCCCACCCGACAGTCATATTTCAGTCAATTGATCCCGTCATTGCCTAAAATGTGGATAGGTAAACACAAAATGCTTCCTCTACATTCGATACTTTCAAGACCGTACCTTATCCACTAGGCAAAAGGCCATTCGGAAATCTTCGTTTGCGATGTGAATCTTATAGACGCTTTCTTCCAATGGGTCCAATAAAAATCGAAGGAAAAAGGAGTAAGGAAAATAATGCATGGCACGTTAATGATTCAGACAGCACAAACAGGTTCAGTAAATTAATGTGTTGTCCACATTTTTTCTATTATCTTATAAAAATCATTAAAAAAGGCACTATGTCATGAGAGCATCGGATTCGTTCCACAGTTTTGCTTGCGGCACAATGTGTTTCTTTACATTAGTTTTAAATTTAATGGTTTATATATATATATATTTCTGTATGATCTGGTGCGAAATAAGAGTCCCAGTCTCTCGAAATCGAATAGAACATAAATACATTCAAAGCACAATTAAACATTTATGATTGCAAAATTCGAAATTTTCAGAGTACCATATTTCACGGTTGTTATCAATTGTGAAACATGTAATATTATAAATGTTAAATGCAAGACTGTATCAATGTTGATCAGTTACTAAGTTTCTACATTGAGCACACCAAGTTCAGAGACTAGCATTTTTGCTCTGCTCTTAAGGATTAGAATACTTGTAACAATTTTGCCTAGGTTAGACAGCCCTTCTTAACCAGAATAGCTGATAAAATCGAAATGATATTGTATTAGAGCTCAACGTAGATTATTCTCGATTTTGGGGACAGGGAGTTGCTCTTTCTTCAAAGGAATTCTATGATTTTTTATGACATTAAAAACAGTTTTGTTTTTTATCCTTATTTAACATATCACGATCTTTAACAGTTATAAATATTGTCTGTCTGATACAAAATATTTGCATTGCTTCAATGCAACCCATGATGATTTATAGCTTACTCCCAGTAAAAATGATGACAATATTGATATATGATATTTTGTTATTCTGCCACATATATCACTACAGCTATATTAACTTCCTGTTTTACTTAAAATCTGTATTTTAAATATGAGTAAATATTTAGATATGAGATTTTGTTTGTTGTAATGAACAGGTTAATTCACGAAGAATATATCTTAAAAACTGTTATTTTATCCATTCAAGTTCATTTTTTATATTTTCTGTAGCTTCTGTATAATTGTAATGAAAGAGATACAGTAGCATTGAAACTATTCAATCAGATGAAGCTGCTAGAATTATAAAAAACGGTTTGCCCATCTTTACTCGTAAATTTCGTTTATATGAAGAATCAAATTGACAATCCTTGTACAGAAAACCCAGTATTTTTATACTATCCAATTCATAGCCAATACATGTTATTTATAGAATAATTTGACTCCGGATAAAACAAATTGAACCTGCACTACTTTGCAACAATTTAATAATTCTATCAAACCAATTAAATTAGCCACAGGCAAGAAAGTTTTTACAGAATTTGGAGAAAGGAAAGTGAACATAATATATTGTCGTGTACGAAACTGCACCAAGTAACAGGCGCTGTTATTACCGGGTTACAATTTTGACAGTGACAGAAAACGACAGAAAATATCTTCTGATTTACCTGAATACTAAAATAGTAATCCCGTACTTCCTCTGGAGTGGCAAAATAGATAAAGTAAAAAGGAATGTTTTAACTAAAGATTACGACGAAGGGGGTTGAAAATGGTTAACATTCAGGCCTTTATTGATGCACTTAAACTATAGGATGGCTCGAGATATATTTTAACAGTGTAAATGCAAACAAGTGGAAAACATTTTTAACTAGCTGGATAGACGTTGGAAAAGGTGTTAGTTGTGGCAGTGATTATATAAGAATGTGTCAAAAAAGCTGTATAAATAAGTTTTGGTGCGACGTTTTTAAAGCGTGGGAAAAGTTATTGAATTCTAATTGTAGTGTAAAATATGAACAAGTGTCACTCCTTAAAACCCCCTTATGGTACAACCGAAAGCTGATCATTAGTGGAACTTCTGTTTTTTATAAGGACTGGTTTTCTAAGTGTGTTAGAGTGATAAATGATATGTTTAAAGACTCAAGCTCACTTTCCTTCTATTCCTTTACTGAATTTACACAGTTATATGGTATTCGAACTGATTTCCTTAAGTTCCAGGGGCTTGTTAACTGTATACGAAAAAATATAATCTACAGAAGATAAATATGGCACTCATTTGACTTTACCTTACCTTCCTCCTAACATAGAATTATTTCTCAACAGATGTAAAGGCACTAAAAACGTATATACTGCTCTATCCAAAAACAATGAATTTCCTGCTGGTAAGAAAAAATGGTCTGCGCAATTTGATATCGATGTATCAACATGGGCAAATATTTTCTCTTTACCTTTCAAAATTACTAATAATTCAAAACTTCAGTGGTTTTAGTATAGAATCTTACATAATATTTTAGCAACAAATTCGATACTCTTTAAGGCAAAAATAGTCACTAGTCCAATATGTACTTTCTGTAAATCTGAAACAGAAACTATAACCCATATCCTTTGGGCATGTGAAAACGTGCAAAACTTTCTACAGAGTTTAGAAACACTACTTGAAGTCCTCCTTATATCTTTTACTATCAACAAAGAATCTTTTCTATTTGGATACTGGACACTTAAAAGTAGGAGCAACAAAATTGACAATGAGGTCAATATCATTATTAAATATTATATTTATAAAACCAGATGTTTAAACGGTTTTCTTAACATTAATGTGCTTATTAATTCAATTAAAGATCATTACAATGTTAAAAAATATATTGCAACCGCAAAAGGAATTTTTTTTATGGAAAGTTTCAGTTTAGAGTGGAGAAAATGGAAACAATTATTATGTCTTTAAATATAAACATTTTCTGATACACATGTTTGTCTTATTACTTATAACTCCCTCCAATCCTGACAGGTTTTCACCAAATAGTAGTAGTGAATCTTTTAGATGTTTAAACCCGAATTTAACTGATAATTCCATGCCTGCAGTCTCTCTCTCTCTCTCTCTCTCTCTCTCTCTCTCTTACGTGCAAAATGTGGTTTAGGCGGAATTGGCAAGTTTTACTCCGCTGTGGGGAGACCATTTTCTAGTTGGCAGTAGTCGCATTTAACTATCAGATATCATTCATCAGATGTTTAACATTGTCAACACTCATTTTATAACATGAAAAATAAAAGTAGTCATTTATAAAGCATAAAACATTATGAGGAGTCCGAGAATTCTCTCACTATTATATGGTGTGTATATCGGAACCCCTCTCCCAGAAATGAGAGAAAAAACTATTGCGAAGAGGACTTACAGAATCACTTTCCCGTGCCAGATCTTAATTAATTTCAAAAGTGCCATGGCTCACAATAATACATACATGGATTTCGTGAATTTGTGAGTTTTACACACTGACGTGGTCTATAGTACACTATGTTCTAATTTTCATATAACTAAATACACCTTTGCAAACTTTATTAATACCATAAGTGATAAGTAAAGTTGAGACCTAATACCATACACTCATTAACTACTTGTACTATTTGCCCCATCCTGACAGTTTCTTCTCAATATTTTCTACACCTTACAAAGATTACACTTCCTCTTATACAAGACTTCCCGTAAAATGTCCCATTGGCTATGTAATAGATTTATTTCAATAATCACCACTTCTCATTAGCATTATCGACCAAACATAAAATTTGACTTTCGATATTAATACTTTAAGCCCGTTATGATATGATCCTTATAATGCCTCGCATCCGCTGTAACCTCTCATAGAATTTCTCACCCACTTAACACGTAATACGTTGCTCCTAAAATTTTACTTTATTCAGAACAGACTACCAGAAAAGTTTACTTTGTTCAAAACAGACGATCAATAAAGTTTGAATTTATTATTAAAAAACCAAATACATGAACTGATTCACTCCTGATAATCAACATTAATTCATAATGTTTGATATTTTTTAAAAAGCGTTGGCAAAATAACTAAATTTTCAGAAAACCCTTAGTTTTAGCATGTATTTATTAAGTGGGAGAACATTTTCGACAAGACAAGTGTATCTAATACCATAACAAATGTTGCTTGTTGATTTTAGGATTTGACATCGTAGATATTTTTCCCCTCAATTTTCAAATTGATACTGCTTTAGCAGCAAGCACTAGGTTTTTTCATCCACCATTTTTATTGTATAAGAATAATCTCCTTTGAAAATGTGTAGTTGTAACTTACTTGATATGCATAATTGACCCTTAATCCAGGTTCTACCTTATTCATACGTAATATCATTCTCTAATACAACATTTTTTTCAGAGTTTATCCATCTTAAGCTTAAAACACATCACTCACGGAAATTAGCAGTAAAGTATTCTCAATATTTATATAAAGTGTATTTTAAAAATATGTGTAAGCTCTTGCATTTTGAACCATGAGGAATTGTGTCACTACTGCGGTATGTTGTGCGATGATTCTATTACATATATTATTTGTCACTGCTATGGAAATATTGATATTTGAGATGAATTCTGGTGTCACTTATTTAATAAGTTGGGCATAAATTTCATGACGTGGTTGAATAATCTGTCAGACTGACTTAGCAAATACTTTCTTGGCGGGTACTTTTAGCTGTGAAATGTCGAACGAAGATTTGGAATATTTCAGACTTGTAAATTTAAGATTTCTGTATCAAATATTTATAACTTCTCAATTACACTATTGTGATTTGCTTTGTACATTTATACAACTCTTCTTTAATGTTGATTGTGTTTTAATTGTATTTATTCTTTTTATGTAATCTTGGAGGACATAAAAGGAATAATAATAACTTAATAATAATAATATCAAAATGAAATCATTCTTTTGATTTGATGTCAACAGGGGAATATCTAAGAATTTTACATGTTTGGAAAATGATAAGAAAACATGAAGCTATCTAAAAATTTAGAATTTGTGTATAATGCTGCATTTTTTATTGCTGCTAAAAATACATAGCTTCAAGCTGATATCCTTTTGTAGTTTCTGAC